TAGGGCACCTTCCTAGGACATTTCTCTTGCAGCCTGCAGTTGTAGTTACATGTATACTGTATGCACATAAGCATATTTAACTGTACTTTTAAAAAGTATACTTACAACACAAGGTAGGGCTTGGTTCAAAATGAAGGTGCATCTAATTTTTACTTTTTCTGCAGTATTTCACACAGTTAATTGATGCTGTCAATAACTCTAATGGAGAGTGATGTTAATGCTTTGGACTGCAGCATTCTGAGCTTGATTTTAAGTTTTAGGGAGTTTTCCAACATGCAATGCTGTATCACAAAGAAAAACAATACAATAATTGTTAGTAGATCGTTATAGTAGCCAGCATCAACAAGTAAGTTTCCAATTTTTCTGGACTTAAGTGTCTAATTTTATCCTAGCCAAATGAATTGGTTGTTCATTCTCCAGATTCTGAGAAATGTAAAGATCTACTTAAGAATGAGGTCATTGTGATAATATACATTACCAGTAGCGTGGCCTAATGTGAGAAAAGTCTGAGCATATGAAGAAAACGTAGGCAACGTCCAGGACTGAAAGCCTGGGCAATAAAACATTCTCATTAGCAATACAAATACTATCTCACTGTCTATTAGCTATTTCTCATTGAAAAATCAGGCCAGAGTCTAATTTTAATGATTAACAGCACATCTTCAGCTGCTATAAATCTGTTGGTAAGTCCAATTATTAAAACAAGATGAAGATTTAGTTGCATACCCTGCTGCCTTCAAGCGCCCAGAAATTGTCTGTAATAATAATTACCTCTTGCACTTTAAAACTTGGGTGGATTTAGTGCTCAGGAAAGCAGAGTGAAAAACAGCTCTGGCTGATAGTTAGGGCTGGTGCAGGTGTCATGGAATCCTTACTTCTGTGTCTTTAACTCTGATTTGTATTGACCCACTAGTTCAAAATTAATTTTAGCAAATTGAAATGTGAGTCTGAAACATTAGCAACGTAGCAAAAACGATGAGATACCACTGCATATTATGACATGTAACAGTTCTTTGGATGTCTTCGGTGAAAGATAATCTAAATTATCTCTTTGTTTCCTCCTATATATAAAGTGCTTATTGACCAAAGGAGTTCATGAGCTGAACTCTTCCTCAGTGGATGTCTCTTAGCTCTTGTTATTATATCCCTCCACCTGAGTAGGTCAATCTACTTTCTCCTAAGTGTCTTCTGGTATACTCATGGTTCCATAGTAAAAATCAGTTGTTCTGAACTCTAAATAAGGCTAAATAAGGTCTTAATAGAACAAATAACAGTTTCCAGAAAGAGCATACCAAAATATTATTCAGTAAAACATCAGGCACTATTTACAGTAGTCAGTCTAATATACAAATTTGGGAAAAAAAAATATACTGTAAGTAACAGATCAGTTAAAGTAAATGTATCATTTGTAATTCAATGTGTTTATCATGTTACAACAGTGACAGCATGAAATCATGAACCATTAAAATGTGACTCTAAAAATCAAAAACATGCCTACATAGCCGTAGTTGTGAATTCAGAGGGAAAGCAATGCAACAACTTTAAGCTATGCAATATAATTTGTTAACATCTTCTGAAATCCAGACAGGTAACCACTGATCATCATAGTAAGAATACAGGAGATTTATTTTCCTTGGCAAGGAGTTACTGATAAGAACCAGGCCAAGTGAGGGTTTCAGATGTTGCAGACATAAACCTTTTGCAAAAGAAAATATTTAGACGTTGCTCCCAGCTTCTTAGGAAAGCCAAGAGGGTTAATGTGCTTTTTTGACTTCTACAAATACAAATTTAGTATTTTTTTCTTATTATATATACCTATAAGAATTTTGAATATCTCTATCCCACAACATTATCAAGAAGCTGAATAAAGAAATGGCTGCAGGAGCCACTCCTTATAGCCAGAATTAAAGACAAAAGAGAAGGGGAAAGCTCTATGCAGGCAAATGTCTAAAACAAAACAGTTACTACACAAAGATAACAAAAAATATTTTTTCCTTTTTCCTCTCAGCTTTTCCCTGACTCTGACATTTGATGGATCGAATACTTCGACAGCAATAGTACCTTGTCCATGTCACAGCTTCCATTTCAGGTATGCCAACACAGTTGTCCAAGTCCACATTATAATCAATGAAATCAACTGGGTGTTGCCTTCTGGTTTTGTTTAAAGAGAGGGAAAGAAGATTTTTAGCTCTGATAGTAACTTTTAAGCCAGGAAAAATGCATCAGATATTTTGTTGATACTTCTGAGAGAAATGTGTACTGGCTTGATCCCAAAATGAGATTCTTGTTTTTATTGGGTGCTTATTTTCATTTGGCTTCCTGGATATGTTTTACTAGTAATACCAAATCAAGTGCTGCTTTTATTTTCAGTAGGACCAGGGGTTTACCTCATGTACAAATCACTGAGACAGAATAATAAGAAAGCATTGGAAGACGTGGTTAGTTCTGAAAGTTCCTGATGGAGTACCAGAAGCTTGGTGAGGGGAAAATGAATTTAAGAATAAGAGAGAGTACTACTAAATTTTGAGTATTTGCTACCTCCTGAAAGTCAAACCAATGAGATTATTTTGTCCATTTTTTCACAGGACTTTCATACTAGAACAAAATTAAATACAGGCCTGCATTTTAATGCAACGCTGAAGAGCTGCAGTATTTTCAGTACAATCTTGAAACATTTCAGTGTAGCAGAAGCAAAAATACCTGAGCCTCTGAAAGCCAAGGGCCATACCCTCAGATGAGGTGACAGTAATAAACCCAACTCTGGCTTTCAACCCTGCCTCAAATAATGAACAAATCAAGTAATAGGTGTCCTCAAATGTTTTCCAGAACTAAATTGGGGAGATATGTTGTAAATCTACAGCAAATGTAGATAATTTTAGTGTTTTATCACCAGCGACAGTTTATAAAATGTAATAGTACTGCTATAATAGTACAATATAATAGTTTATGGTTGAGAGATTAAAAACAATATCTTTTCCCTTCATTTTTGACAGTAACACCTAATTCCATTAGGAGCAACTCTATGTGGCTATTTTAATTTTGGTTGATAACTGAAAAATCAGCTTTGTTTTTCCTTGACAACTAAGCCTTTTGAACTTCATAAGTAGAATAAAGTGCCGTGGAGTGTATTTAGAGTATGCACATGTAATTAAATTCACATTAAGATATTTTTTCTTGGAGAAATTTCATTTTTTCATTCAGATAGGGGCACAAAATGAACTGTTACTTATAGAAATTTAGATTTTTAAGAATGCTTAAAAGATGCAATTTTATAATGCCTTCCTAATTTCAACAGGAGACCTCAAAGCTAGCAAATCATTCTACATTTAGGGAAAAAAAAAAAAAAAGCCAGGATAGACCCCCCCCTTCAAAAACTGTTTTCTTGTTCCCCATCAGAACTACTTGGATATGAAAGTATTTTGCTTTTCATCATATGTGTAAGTAAAAAGATCTGTGCTGCTTATAGGAACCAATTCAATGCAGATAACTGAAAATCTTACGTTGTTTTCAATTAATTGGATTAGGTCTGTAGGTATTGAAGATTAGCTGGTAGTTGAATGCCATGGAATAAGTATCCACAATTGTATGTGTTGTAAGGAACAATTAAAGCAATATCTGATGATTTTGCAGAAGAAAACTGAGCTTGGCTGCTGCATCATTCTTGACTCAGTATTATTTGCCATAATATTTTGTGATATGCTATAAGGTATTGTAAGTTATATGCACATTTTATACAAAATACTCGAAAATATTTTAAGGCAAGAGAGAACACATAGTGCAGATAACTTAGAGAATATAATTTAGGATCTTGAACTCAAACTTTGTGTCTTAACAGAAATGTATGGCTCCATTGTTTGGCAATATCAATGACATGCAGATGGGTAAGAGGCTGTCAAGCTCAGTGAGCAAAATGTAAGTTTTGCTGCAGCTGTACCAGTGTCATTTCACAGTCATTCAATGAATTAAAAGGAGGAGACATTGTAAGACAAAACAGTAACAGACTTATTTAGAAATGTGTCACATAAAAAGAAAAAGTTTGAGGGATTACATTTTTTTATACGGTTTTAATGCTGTCTCCCACTGATCACTCTTATGAAACATCAATAAAATCAAAAGAAAACACTTACTTACCACCAGTAAAAATAATATATAATGAGCTGTTAAACTTGAAAGTAAAACTGAAGCTATATAAAAAGATACATTTTCTTCCATATCTTCATTATTGTAACCGTAGATGTTTCATAGGGCATTGGTGACATAGTGTTAAAGTGAATACTTAATTAAATATATTTTATTATGTTACATATAATTTTACCTTTCTGTTTTAATTGATAAAATGGTAGGGAAAAATTCTGTTTGGATCCTGTTTTGTGTGGTCTGTTTCTCAAGTATATTTTGATATTTATACAGTTGCAATCCTTATAAATTTGAAGATTGATTAATATGTACAGTTGGAATCAAAGAGAAAAATAAAATAGCTCTCAGGAGCTGAGTTAAAAAGGCTTGTAGTTGTGATCATGAAGAAGAAGTGTCTAAGATAGTGTAGGACACACAAACTATTCAAATGCAAGTATTTGTCACAGAGTTTAAAAATTAGCTTAATGTGGACTGAGAATATAGTTCCTTAGTCCAAGCTATTTTATTTCATGATGGAATTTCTATCCAATGTTACAAGCAAATAAATTTTAAAGACATGCATAATTAATTAAAAAGAAAGCAAACTGTACTTAAACCAAAGATTTATGAAGACTTTCTAAGTGTTTCTTCATTTAAGAATAAGTGCCAACCAAAATTATTTTGGCCTTATCCAGTTAAAAACAAATACTTAGCACATACTATGCAGTTTAGCCAGATAAAGCATAACGAAGAGAACATTGGTAAGAAATAACTCTTTAAAAGAAAACAACCCTTCAGCTAGGATTTTGGCCCTATTCCTGTCCTCATTATAACCAGCGGCAAATATCCCATTGCTTTTAATATAACATCTTTATGACATTTAGGTAATACTGGAAAAGAAAGTAATCTCTGACTTATAAAAGGAAGATACATGCACAGAATTTATGATGCTCAAAACTGTTCTTGGTTCAACATGCCTGTCATGGGCTGAGTGCTCATTATTTCCCTTGCAGTGAAACCAGGACTCAGAGAAGGTAAGAGATCTTGGGGTTCTTTTTGTCATAGTGAGCTCAAACTAACTGTCCAGTAAAATAACAGGTTTCATAATTAAATACCAGGGGACAGGATGGTGTTTAGGATGCCAAATAGTAGAAAATTTCTGATTTTTAACAGTTCTTCCAAAGCGTCTTAAAATGCTTAAAGCCCTCTTTAAATTTAAAGCCAGAAGGATATAGGCCAAAGGAACTGACAGACTACTCTGTTCATTACCTGCTGAACAGAGTTTAAAGTAAATTCCTGGTGGAGGAAGCCTCTTTGGGCTGGGCTTAAGAGGAAAATTGCAGGGGATGTGAGCACAGCTGAGCTTGTGCCCTTCTTGCTCTCTGCTAACTTGACCCAGGCCAGCCTTAACAGGAAGCCAACCAGAGGTGTCTGGCTGCTCTGTTTCTCAGTTTCCAGTTTCTCAGTTGGAAAATTTGGGTTGCATTTAATGGCCCATTAATGCAACCTCTGGGTTTGGAGAGGAGAGCTGGGTCACATCTGGCTAGTGTTGACCATGGGCAAACTGAGTGGTGCTCCAGCTGCACAGGGCATGCCCTTTTCTTCCCATGACACCCAGTGGTAGGTGAAACAAATTGAATAATCTCTATCTTCAGGAATAACACAAACAAATTCAAGGAAGAAGAAAGGAAACAGACCAGTGGCCTTTAGTTTTGCCTTGGACCATGGATGATCTTAGTAAAAAACCCCTATTGACTCATGTAAATAAAATCTAATATAAAGACATGCTTTTGAAAAGACATGTTTCTTGTGCAGAATAAACAAATATATTAATAGCAATTTTAAGATGAGTTTACATTCAAACAATGCCTTTAGGAAGAGGAAACATGTTTCCACTCTGTTTTAAAGTGTTAGTGAATTATTTCTTTGATGCAGACGTGAGAAAATCCTTTATAGTTTTAGGCTAAATTGGGGTTACTCTTGAAATCCAACTTTTTTATACAACAAAGCTTGTGAAAATATTTCAGCCTGACCACTTCTCCATGAAAATGACAGTGTGTAAATCCACACTTTTAGCCAAGAGGGAGAATGCTATAAATGAGCTCTGACAATGTGACTTGAAAACTGAAATGTGCAAACATGAGTCTGTACATGTTGTTTAATCCCTGAGTTTATAGCATTAATCTTAGTTGGTAGCAAAAAAGTTTTTTAATACCCTTCTTGACTGATCGAGTTCTTGTGGTAAACTACATAGGTATGAGGTTATGCATATGAACTTCTCAGAATCACCATAAATCAAGTACACTGAAACTGGTTGGGAAGTAGGTAACATGAGCTTTTGTATTATCACACTTAATTCTGTTTATGTTTAATTCAGAAGCTCCAGATGCATAGAACAGGCTTACTAAAAGATGCTGATCTTTGTGATCAATTGAAAGGAGCAATTTCATTTTTATTGTAAATAGGTAACATAACATAACAAATAGAAACATATATCAAAAGACTGACTTTTACAAAGAAGCTGTATAATCACATGTAAATAATGTATTTTAATTCTTTAGCTGAACTAAAAGTAATTCTAAAAGCCTAGTGAGCTCTTTGCCAGAGCTGGATGACACGACACAGTCAACTTTAACAATATATTTTCTATAAAACTGTCCTTAACAAAACCGTAAAAGATTTAAACTGATGTTTGCTTTTAATTGAAAACAACCTTCTTTTAACTGCACATTTTGCTTTTTCACATTTATTTTTTTTTTTTTTTTTTTGGTTAGTAGACATTGAAATATATGTTTGCTGTTAGATTGGTACTTTCTGGTTTATATTCACATGCATTGGATATGCTGTTCCATGTAGGAAGTTGTTAATGGGAACTACATATATCAGAGTTGGCAGTGATTTCCTGAAGCCCATTAATCCGCTTTGATAACCACTGCTGTTCCTAATACTCCTATTATATCAAGATCAAACTTACCCACGTGAGCAAATTAAGCAGGTTTTAATCATCCCATGGAAATTTCTTGGTGTCTCTGTGTTGTGGTTTAAACTCTGTCGGCAAGTCAGCCACGCAATCCACTCCCCCCCTCCCCTTTTTCTTCCCTCCCCCCACTCCTGGAGGGATGGGGAAGAGAATCAAAAGAATGCAACTCCCACAGGTTGAGATAAGAACAGTCCAGTAACTAAGGTATAACACAAATCTCTGCTGCTGCCACCAATAATAATAATGATAAGGGAAATAACAAGGGAAGAGAATACGATACCACCTGCCGAATGAGCCTGACCGAGCAGTGAACCAGCCCTTCCTGGTAACTCTTGGTTACGTCCTGGGCATGACGTGCAGTGGTATGGAATACCTCTTTGGCTAGTTTGGGTCAGGTGTCCTGTCTCTGCTTCCTCCCAGCTTTCTCTCCTCCCTGGCAGAGCATGAGACTCACAAAGTCCTTGGTCAGACTAAACCTCAGTGTTATCAGCACTGTTCCCAGGCTGAAAGTCAAAACCACGACACTGCACCAGCTACTAAGAAGGAGAAAAAAATGACTGCTACTGCTAAACCCAGGACAGTATCCACCCCTTATTCCATACAATTCACGTCATGCTCAGATCCCACATTTAAATATACCATCGCTCTTACATTTATCATCCACATGCGCACACAGACAGAGGGAAAGAGATAATTTCTTAGTGCATGGACCAATCCCTATAATGCTGCTGAGTCCATTCGGTCCATGGTGTAGGGTTCCATCTCTTGTAACAGTCTTTTGGGGGAGGAAAGGCTGTGTGCAGTGCTGGATCGTTGCCTGCTGATGCTGATTGTTCCTTTACCGCAGAACTCGTCTGGTTCCATCGGAGCTCATTCTCTGTTGGGATGATGGTCAGAAGGAAGTCAGGGCCAGTCGCTGGTGACCTGAAGACATCTAGTTGATGGGCTATAAAAGTATTATATAGCAGGCAAAAGCATACAATTAAGTTCATTGGCTGTTTTCCCCTAAAATCAAATCCCCGTGAGGTATACATTGGACTTCCCCATCTTCCCCCATTACCCACCAAGTAAATCTGGATCCCTGAGCAAAAGCAATCCCATGAGTGGGTTTGCCTTTACCTGAAGCAGGAATAACCCAGACTGTCTTCCCCAGCAAATTCTTCATGTGCACCACAGGAACTTTGTCCCCCTCTACAATATGTAAAAGTTCTGACTGGGCTAGGCCAGCCCTGTTTAAACAACGACACTCTGACAGAACTACTTCTGTACAGTGAAGGTTTCAGGATAATGATTTCAGTGTGCAGAGACTTCCAGTAAAGTCTGAGGAGGAGAGGCTGCGAAAGTCAGTAAACCCTGAATTAGGGCTTTTGGAATTGGTTCATCTCATCCCAAGGGTAAAATAACAGTACTTCAAAATAAATAAGTGGAAGTAATCTCTTAAATTAGAACAAAGGGTCAGGACAAATTATCTTTGTTTCTCCTGTCATGAGTATATCAAGTTTGTTCAGACCTCTACTGCGGGATTAAAACGTAACAAACAAAAATTCTGTCTTGTTTGTACTGATACAGGCAAATGTGTGTAGTCACTGTGATCTCCATGGCAGCCTTTTTTGGTCTTAATCGGTCTAAGATTTCTTGGTCTTATGACAGAAATTTTGTGTTTATGAAGGCAAAATGCTGATATCTAGAACTGCCTTACATTTTCTTATTTCTGCTGCTCTCCAGAAAATACTGATGTGTGATCAAGAAAATAAATAAGGCCCTAAGGCACAAGGAAATAAATTTTCCACAATAAAATAAGAAAAATAAGGCAGCCGTTTACCTGCATACCAATCTACGTACTGTCTTCTGCATCACATGTGATGCTTTGAGAGCAGATCCGGCCTGGATGGTGGGCAGTAGATTGAGGGCAGTGGAGGCAGTATCTGGAGAGATGGCATATGGGCTTGGAAAGGGGTGCAGATCTGGGGGCTGTGCAGACTAAGGGGACGCTTTGTGGCTTGAACAGCAAGTTGTGAGCCTGAAAGTTACTTGTTTATATTGAGGATGCTGGTAGGTTTGGCCTGGGAGGAGACAGCAGCTCAGCTGGCAAACTTTCAAACTTGACAGTGGCGTTGAATACTTACACATAGCTTGAGTCCATTTTCACAGCCCACCTCTTTTCACGATTTCCCACTTGGAAGTTCTGCTTTTATCTGCAAAGCTCAAGGCCTGCCCAAAGTACCTGCCATACTGCTAATAGTGTCAAATAGAAACATTTAGTTTATACTTAAACAATATATATCTTAAAAAAATAGAAGGCTTTTAAACTTAATAATTAGAAGCAGCTGCATTGACTATGCAAGGAAAGAATGCAGATGACTTGTCATCAACACAGATTTTTAGTATATTAGCAATCTTAATGATGGAAACAGTGACTTGTGCAGTAAGTGGCCAAAAAAGTCATGACTTCCTATTCATACAGAACATTCCTGTAGTTAACATGAGAAGTTGTGGTCAGAGATTGCTTACAAAGGTAATTTCTCACAGCAAATCCCCATGAAAAGAATTAATCTTAAGCACTTCCAGCTATCCATCTCAGAACAGCTAGTCTTTATGAACTATACAGGCCTTGGGCCTTATACTGGCCTGTAATTGTCTGATGCTTGTACTGTTTACCAGAGCTTTGAGAAACCTTGCATTGAATATTATGATGGAAGAGAGAGAGGACTATGTGTCCATTAAGACACTAATTCTGAATGATATTTCTATGTTTCTGATATCCTTTATCCACTGCAATGATGATTGAGCTCTGACCCAATAGAACTCTCTTAGGGGGTCTTAAATCAAGCACTCCAGAAATGAAAATAAAAACCTAAAAGCATGTATTTTGGCTAATTTGATTTATTCTGTCCAGGTAATTTTTTTGTGTTAAATATTTGTGTCCTCAGAAAACTTTTGTTTCTGCTGGATGAGGGTGTTTTCAGTATTTTTGTATCATAGATTCATATGGACTATATATTGCATACGTCTGCATAATATTTATGTATATATATTTGTATATCATTATTGATAATCTCTATTTGATAGCCACATGAAAATGGTTCTCCAATTCTGTTCTGTTTTTTGTGCAGCTTTTTGAAGTAAATATCACCTATCATCTTGCTGTCTCCAAATTTACCATGTTATTTTCATAACTCTTTCGATTTCTTGTTCCCTCAATAGTCCATGTTAACTAATAACCTACTTAACTTTAGTAAAATATAATGTATGAGCTTGGGTTTTCAAAGGTTTGATTTCCTCCTGCAGCCATGCAGAGTAGAGGCTTCTCTTTTGAAAATGAAAGATATAAAAGGTATAATGTAACAGATGTAAAGTAATTGCCAAGTGTCTCCAAATTTTTCCTTGTACCTACAAGATGTTTTGAGCAACATTGCTTTATTCCCAGAGAACTAACAGAAAGTGAGAGAGTATGTAGTCATATACTGCATCTTGGGTCTACTGAGGGAGATCATGAGAACAGATTGTGGAATTAGGAGACAGGCACTTGCTATAAACAACACTGTTAAAAAGTATAAGCAATTGCAATAACATATTTTCGTGCTGGATTGAAAGTGGATTTTTTTCTCCTATCTGGCCATGCTACAGACATATGAACCAGTAACATATGAACATCATCCACTGCTTTCAGAGCAAAAATCTCAGAGTCCAAATACCCTCTTTAAATCCAAAGCTTGTTCTGAGTAAATATTGCAAAATATTGATGAGGAAGCATTACAGAACTGAATTATAGCTACTG